GAAAACCACCTCCCTCCCTCCAACTTACTTTCATGGTTGTAAGATGGGCTTAGCATAATTCATCGCTCAAAGAAGCTCCTTTACAAAACTACCTGCAGATGGAAAAATTTGTCTTGTCTTGTTTATTCACTCTGGGTTCCTGAGCTTGTTTTGTTGCATTTGGAAGTGAATTGTTTGCCTTTTTGGTGCAGGTAACACTGGTCAACATTTCGACCCATTTGAAGAGGGGGCCCATTCATCTGAAGTGTTGTGGAACTAACAATATGACTCAGGCTGAGGAATGTGTGTGGTATATGTTGGGTTGTGCTTTTTCTTCTGCTCATGAGCGTTAAAAGAGAAGAGCAAGGAGGAAGAGTGGTGAGGGGGTGAAATAAATAAATATTCCCCTCTAGATAAATATTAATGCTGGACTCAAGGGGGAAACAAACTTTTTTTATATATAAAAAATGTCAATATTCAACATATAATGAACATAGCAATCAATTGACTATTCACTAATGAAACTACTAGGCTAATCTAGGCTTCTGGCATTGGCAGAAAAATGTCCATATTAAGGTTCCCCACCCCCACAGTCAGTCTACCAGTAATAAGCATCGTTGTTAGAACAGTTTGGAGGACATAATGATAGATTATTTGTGATACTGGTCCCATTTGTGAAATGTCCCAAATGTAACTTGCCGAAGATACAACTTCTGGGATCTGATAAATTAATAATCTGTCAATTCAAGGGTGTTTGGTTTTTTCCCTTATTCCAAAGAAGGAAGTATCTGTTTGGGGTTCATTGGTTTTTGTTCAGTAGCATGTTCATAGTTACAAGTTGTCAATGTCTTCCAACACCCCTGAGATTCTAGCTCTCTTCCCTCCTCCACATTAGCCCAAATTCTCCCTAGTTGTTTTTCTCTTTTATCATAGAAAGCGCTGAGCTGCCCTTGTAACTGCTCTGGTGGCACTGATGGCCTGACAAGCCAAACACCAGTGTACTAAGCACTAATGGGGGCTTGTGAGAGGTGCAGAATTCTAACTTTGAGGATTTTGAGAAAATATTAAATCCCTGCAACAAAATGTTGCAATGTGGGGTGCTTCTGCAGTGTTCAAGCCACTCTTTACCATCCACCTACATCTGGTTTTCCTTAGCCCACTCATCCAACATTTAGTAGCCAGTGACATTGAACATGCTCAGTCCTCATTAGGCAGGGGTTGTGTGTGTGTGTGTGTGTGTGTGTGTGTGTGTGGCTTTTACGAAGTTTCCTCTATTTGGGAGGGTGGCATGGTGGTGTCACCTTTGAAACAGCTCTCTCTTCTGCCCTGGGAACATTTTAAAATAGTTTCTCAGTGCAAACTAGGAAGTGATGTACAGAGACAAGGAAATGTACCGTAGTTTGTTTCGTTGTTCTCCTTTTCCAGCCACTCCATTCTGTTTACCCCTTGAGAAGGTAAGGGCTATGCACCCAGTCTACTAAACATTCTAATTCTTCCCTCCCACGTTGTCAAGTGTTCTGTATTGACCAATCTGGAACAAATATTGCTCTGCTTCAATTCTTACCATGGCTCCTCAGATGAGGATTCCCAGTACTATGCTGGTCTACTCAAAAGTAAGGCCCACTGAGTTTGATTTGTTTACTCTCAGAAAATATAAAGAGATTTAAAAATAAAAAATAGTATAGCACACACCAATACTGTTCTGGAAAGCAAGTTTAAGCAATTCCTTTCAGACTTTAGTGTGCTACCAGCTTGTTCTTAAACAACTGCAGCAAACACTCCCCTCGCGCTGCCACACAACCAGGAGAAAGTTATTAAAACACACCATCAATTTATTTATCTAAAATGAAATCCTGCCTCTTCCAATTTTTCTGAAACTACATGAAGAGGGGAACACTTTGAAAAGCAATGGAAAAATAAAGAGAAAACTAACGGGAAAGAAGGGGTAGCTCAGTCAGTAGAGCATGAGGGTCTTAATCTCAGGGTTAGAGCCCCACATTGGGTACAAGATCCCTGAATTACAGGCCATTGTACTAGATGGACCTTGGTGTCCCTTCCAATTGTACAATTCTATGATTTTATGAATTTTGCTGGTATGGCAGAATGAGGCAGCTTTGTTGTTTAGTCGTTTAGTCGTGTCCGACTCTTCGTGACCCCATGGACCAGAGCACGCCAGGCACCTCTGTCCTCCACTACCTCCCGCAGTTTGGTCAAAGAGGCAGCTTTAGGAGCGGTTAAAGGTAAAGGGACCCCTGACCATTAGGTCCAGTCGTGGCCGAGTCTGGGGTTGTGGTGCTCATCTCGTTTTATTGGCCGAGGGAGCCGGCGTACAGCTTCCGGGTCATGTTAGGAGCTGTTGGGGATGCATAAAATGAAGTTGAGGGCTTCATATGCCCCCCCCGGCTTCTCAAATGTGACATGACCTATTCTTTTAAGGTGTTATGTGCATGCATATGAAGAACTGGATTGTGTCTTTTCCAAAAATGATAATTCTTCATTACTACCGCTCTTTAGTATTGCCCGTTCCCCTCCCTCTAAAATCCTATATTAAGTATGATTTACATAACATCCACATTACTTAATAGATACTGTGAAAGATACTGAGTTTGGCATTCCTGAAGTGGGGAGTCTAAGAGGGCAAAGGATGTCGGGCCAGTCAAAGCCATAAAAAGGAGAATGATGAACGTACATATACAGAGCTGCATAACTGATAAAGCCAGGAAGAGTGAATGTTGACATTTCTGTGTTTCTGTCTGTTTCGATTGCATTTTAAAACTTGATATCTGTGGGGATTTTGCTGTTTTGTCTACATGTGATATGCGCAGTGGGGAAACAGCGATCCACTGGATCAATCAATTCCTTGAAGGTTATACGCTTTGCTGGTGGTTTCAGGGTGGATAATTAAAAAAATATGCCTTACTGCAGGCTGGTGAAAGATATGTTTGCTGACAGGGGCTTGTGGGAAGAGGTGGACTTCAAAGTGGCTGCTTGTTCAGAGCATGGAAAATGTATCAGTGAAGACAAATATTGTCAGAGTACAGAGCTTGTGGTTTAAGCTCAGATGAATGAACACATCACTTCTGTAATGATGCAAAGGAGAAAAGATTGTAAATCTGGCTTCTCTGGGAAAAGTGAACTTTGAATGAATTCTGAAGGCATTATTTCTACAGAAAGTGCTTTCAAATTTACATCAAAAGCAGAGCACAAAGCACCTTCTTCTTTCTCTTTTTCTCAGCTCCATCCACGCAGCTCAGCAAGTAAACATGGGAAGGCATTTTAATAGCTGGCAGTGCACTGTTTACCCACCGCTTTATCAAACAGGATGGCTGCAGAGAGTAATCAAGGCTTCATATGGATTGCATTATTTTGATGCATGGTGTCATATTTTCTTACTGGTTCTGATACATCAGTGACTTTCAGTTCCTTATCTCAGTTTTGTGGCTTATAAACTGTAATTGACTGTCTCTAGGGACAACAGTAAACAATTTTTCCCTTTCCTGTTGTCATTTTTTGCCCTAAACTTTTATTGTGTGCTCTTTCCCTCCTTGAAATAATAATAATAATAGTAATAGTAGTAATTATTATTATTATTATTATTATTATTATTATTATTATTTCAGCTTGATAGTCTATGTGTGTATTAATGTAACAGGCAACATTTTATTCTAGGAACAAAAAAGGAGAGAGATCTAGGATTTTTAATTGTTGCTTGGGACAAAAAACACCTAGAGAAGAAGCAGGTTACCCCAATAGTCTAACATCACTGCTTATGCCTTGCTGTCACAGTCAAAACTCTGGAAAGAATCATGAGGAACAACCCTGTATATTTACTTCAAGATTCCTCCTGCAAATCATTGAGATTGGAGCGGCCTCATAAAATATTTTGTTGTGGTTAAAAGCAGACATGTCCATCAAAATGAAAAATCCTCCCCTCCCCCCCACTTCTTGAGTTTTGGGGATTTTTTTAAAGTCAGCATGGTTTCTTTTCTCATAAAAAAATAAAAAAATAGTGCATTGAACTTTTTTGGGGGGAAACAACTCAGAAATTTAGAGTGGGGGCTGATCTGCCTCAAGACACCTTGTTGATGTGTCTTGCGAGGACATGACCTGAATCACCCCTATTTTTCTTGTTTGGGGTACACACAAAGCCAATGGGCACCCCTAGTAATCACCAAATGAGGTTGTGGATTCAAGCCCCACGTTGGGCAAAATATTCCTGTATTGAAGGGGGTTGGACTTAGATGATCATCGTGGTCTCTTCCAACTCTACAATTCTATGATTGATGCAAGAGTTGCAAGATAATGAGTATGAACAGTGCTTTGACCACTTGACAGTGCTTTACAAATGTTAAATGATGTGATATTAGTACTTGAACAAGTATTAGTATAAGGGCATTTGGCTTGGAAACTGAGTTTTCCCTTCAGCAAACACAAATCCTAGGATGGGAACCCTTCTACCATAGACTGATGACACATTCTAGAAGTATGCTGTGCTGTTGGGACCATTGATCATGTTGTTTTGATACTGGAGTACAGAATTGTGGCCTATAAGTCCCAAAAACATTTGTGTTCTTCAGGATTCTGAGTTAGATGGCCAAACTAGAAGTTGACAGCCCCACTTCACAGAAAAGAAACTGGAAGTTCAAGGACAGTTAAGTTACCCTAGCAGGCTGGCCTTTGAATGAGGGATAGAACAAGGTGACAATTAGGTTCTCCATATTAGGTTGCATTTTTTTAAAAGTCCTTATGAAAATTTGACAGCATTTTAGTGCTTATTTCTCATAATATGTTTTTTTACATACAAGTTTCCTTAATATATTTAATACATTTTCACTAAAATATGCACATGTTTTAATACAGTTTATGGATAGAGAACTGCATGGCAAAATTCAGAGTTGTGTGCATTTCAAAGGACAGCTGCATTTCCTTTAGCAAATTGTTTCAGGAAGTGTGAATTAGATAGGTTCTCATTAAAATGCAAACCAAACTGAATTTCTCCTGCATCTTTACTTTGAACTCAGGGCTTCTTTCCACCTTCGCATCCACGGTCTGTACCCAAGAATGAATGAGCTTATACGGACATAGCATACCTCTGTGAACTTTCCAAGAGAAGGTGGGTATTATTCTCAGCATTTTAAAGCAGGAAGCAATTAAGGCTGTCCTTATAAACATAGGGATAGGAATGAACCTAGATGTCCTGGCTCACTCTGCAATTTACTAAATCTAATAGCTTTTCCCAGCATAAGAAAAACCACCAGATGGGGACTGTAGCATCATCAAATAAATGAGGGATCTTCACTTAATGATTTGCCATTGCTTATAAGCATAGCATTCTTAAACTGAGGGAGACTGGAAAATTCAGTGATTACCCTGGCTGAACTCTTATGAGCTTTTATGAGCTTCAGATTGAGACATTCTTAACATCAGTCCAGGCCATCCTTAGATAGTCAAGTAAAACAGGCTCTTAGTGGTTAGTGGAGAGGATACTGAGGTATTGGCCTTGGTTACTTTGGGCATGAAATATATGCTGTCAAAAATCCAAGGTAGTCAAATGTAAACTTTGCGTGTTGTTGGTATTTTATTTTTTATTTTTTTAAAATAAATTGCTTTATATGTTCTCAGACTACTGAGTAGGAATCTGTATTTTTCCAGTATTCCAGATGTTTGAGATTGTGGCTGCAATTCTGTTCACAGGCTGTAATACTCTGGATACATACCTTAGAGCAGTGTTTCCCAACCTTGGGCCTCCAGCTGTTTTTGGACTACAACTCCCATCATCTCTAGCTAGCAAGACCAGTGGTCAGAGATGATGGGAATTGTAGTTCAAAACAGCTGGAGGCCCAAGGTTGGGAAACACTGCCTTAGAGTAAAGCCCATCAAACTCTTAGTCTTGCATCCAAACACAAGCATAGGATTGTCCCGCATATTTTTTTTATATTGATATTACTAAGTGTATGGTTGCTGCCTTTATTTATCTTTTCTTCTTCTCCCACATTATAATTTCCTAATCCTGAAGGTTCATACAAGACCTTGTATTTTCCCTTGCGTACAACACTGTTACAATTTCACATCTGGCAAGGTACTGAGGAGGGAATCTTTTAAAGCTGTTTGTCTTAAGGTGCTTAAAAAAATTGTGCAGCTGTACTATAGTGCTTATAGACTCTTACTGCTCTTCTGAAACCTTTGGACAAAAACCCAAACTGCTCCAGCCCAGCCCTGTTTAACATCACAAGACAGGTTGTTGTTGTTGTTGTTGTTGTTGTTGTTGTTGTTGTTGTTACTAAAGATGAAATATTCAGGTGAGAAGATTATTGAACTTGATTTATGTATAGAATATCCCTGGAAACTGAAAGTCTATCTAATTTGTTTTTCATCCTCCTAGTTTTACCATTGTGACAATTGAAGGCGGAGGGCAGAGAATAGAAAAAGGAGGTCAGTGGGCAAAGAGTTGGGGTGGGCGAGACCCCTGGAGTATTAAAGTGATTTAACCAGTTTATATTAATGGCATAGGAGGGAGTTTTTGGGGGGTCCTCATGTCTAAATTTAGTTTTGCTGTTAACATTTTATGATTTAGAAGGCTATAACTGCAGCATAGTAGCAAAACAGCCATCATTCCCTTGGCTCTATTTATCAGCCTTCCTCTCTGCAAGGCTTCCCGTTATAAAACAAATTGGGGGGGGGGGGGAGAAAGTGAACAGGATTGAAGGGAGAGACAGGTACTATTTCAGTCTTTCATTTTTTGTTCCATCTGGCAAGTTATAAGAATAAAGATACGGATAAGCCACTTTTGAATAGTCTGTTTTTCAGGTGAAAGTGGAATCCAAATATATAGCTTATTGGCTTCACCAGTGACAGCTAAAGATAGCCCAAGAAGCATGTGTGTGAGATGTAGTTTGACATCTGCTACTCAAAAACTAGCTGGATGTTTATTATGCTGCAGGGAAGATATTCCACGTGCTGCAGTCGTTTGCTAAGTAGAAAGCAGATATAACATGCAAAGGTCTAGCACAGGCATGGCCAAACTTGGCCCTCCAGCTGTTTTGGGACTACAACTCCCATCATTGCTAGCTAACAGGACCAGTGGTCAGGGATGATGGGAATTATAGTCCCAAAACATCTGGAGGGCCAAGTTTGGCCATGCCTGGTCTAGCATTAATTATGAAGCTAGGTGAAGTAGCGCTTCAGGCAACCAATGCTATGGGGGTTGCAATTTTCTTAGCTCCAACCTGACTCTTCATGTGTAATTAAAGAAAAGAGGAAGACTCTCATTCTTTGCTACAGGTGTGGAATTGCTTAAGGTAGCAATCTTAACTCTAATAGCAGGGGTCAGCAAACTTTTTCAGCAGGCAGCTGGTCCACTGTCCCTCAGACCTTGTGAGGGGCCGGACTATATTTTTTTTGGGGGGGGGGAATGAACGAATTCCTATGCCCCACAAATAACCCAGAGATGCATTTTAAATAAAAGCACACATTCTGTTGTTTAGTCGTTTAGTCGTGTCCGACTCTTCGTGACCCCATGGACCAGAGCACGCCAGGCAGGCCCCCACAAATAACCCAGAGATGCATTTTAAATAAAAGGACACATTCTACTCATGTAAAAACACGCTGATTCCCAGACCATCTGTGGGCTGGGTTTAGAAGGTGATTGGGCGAGATCCGGCCCCCGGGCCTTAGTTTGCTATCCATGTCTAATGGCATAAGATAAGCCTGCTGGATCAAACTGACAGCCCATCTAGTCCAGCATCTTGTTGTCACAGTGGCCAACCAGATACCTGTGGGAAGCTTGCAAGTTGGACAACAGCACTCTGCCCAACCAAAATTCCCCACAACATGTATTCAGAGGCATGGTGTCTTTGATATTGGACGCAGATAATGGACATTGTGGCTAGTAACCCTATTTACCTGGCGAATTGAATTCAATAAGACTGACTTCTGGGTGGGCATGGCTAGGATTGCACTGGAAGGCATTAGCACTGAACTTGGAGATAGCCATATATGGGAGAGGGAAATCATGCCTCAAAGTAGAACTTCTAACAAATCTTTCCATGACTTCCTTATAAATTGTGAAAACTTACTATATATGATAGCCAGACTTTGCTCCCTTGACAGCTAGAAACAGTCTCTCCTAGCACTGAAACTAATTATTCAGTGTGCAGAAAAGGAGGTCCCAAATGCCATGCACTCAACCAGAGGTTTGCTCCCTCTAGTCAAACATTTATGATCCCTTTTGCCTTTCACGATCACAACTTAACAGAACAGCTGCTGCATGCAGAGTTCCATTGCCACTCCCTACAGGGAATGAGTAAGTATAACCCCAATGGCAACAGCTAGCTCAATGTCTATTCCAGGTAAACCACTGGAAAACAAGATTAAAGTTTGCATTATTAGGCGTATAGAAGGACAAAACCTCTTGTGGAAGAACCATTGAAGAGATTATGTACTTCATCAACCTTATTTAAGAGTGTCAGCAAGTATTGAGATAGGACTGATCTGGGCTTGTAAGTCCAAAAGGTTCTATTTGGTTCGATGGTTGTTTTATTGTAATGTGATTTTAATTGTTGTATTGATTCACACACCCTTTATAAGCCATATTGACCTTTGGAACAGAATCATGTTTCTAAAGGGTTTTAACAGAGCAATCCTAGGGAGGGGTGTATGAGACAGAGAAAGACTTGGTGGCAGTAGGACCACTGTTTCCTAAGCCCTGCTGGGCTCCCACCAACCAGGGTGGAAGATGGAGGGACAGCTTTCAACCTCTTGCCACCTTTTTAAATTACCCATTTGTTTCTTTTCAAATTATAGCAGAAATAACTATGCCAGCTCAAGGTCTGGCAGAGTTTCTCCCATTGCACAGGATGTGCATTTCTGGGAAATTAGGGAGCTTGGAATGGGTGGATCTAAAGGTCCCTCTCAGTCCCTCTCTGACATGCCCCCAGAACACCCTTACACTTTTGCCCTTACCACCCATGGGGCACTGTTGGTGAAGCATCTATAGTGGCAGAGGTTTCCCCTGCCAGTCAAGGGAAGACCGCTGCAGTAGCTTAGAAACCCATTATAGTACAGTGGTACCTCAGGTTAAATACTTAATTAATTATGGAGGTCCATTCTTAACCTGAAACTGTTCTTAGCCTGAGGTACCACTTTAGCTAATGGGGCCTCCTGCTGCCACCGCGCGATTTCTGTTCTCATCCTGAAGCAAAGTTCTTAACCCAAGGTACTATTTCTGGGTTAGCGGAGTCTGTAACCTGAAGCATATGTAACCTGAAGCGTATGTAACCTGAGGTACCACTGTAATAATAAATAACAACAATAGGTGGGACCCCACAAAGTAGATCTACTAGTGCAAGAATGCCTGCTTGCATCATGGAATTTTCCCTCCCTCTTCTCTACCCAGGCACGCTCCCCAGATCTGCTCCAGGGGGTCGAGGAACCCATAGTAGGGTCCAGGGGGCATGAGAGGAGAGGGAAAGGAGGTTCTGTTGCACAGCTGTGCTCTAGTAGATCTACTTTGCTGGTATGATGGTTATTATGAATATGGTGATGTTGATCATCGTAATAGTAATAGACCTGTATCCTGGTAACTTTCTAAGGACCATAGACTTGCACCCTTAAATAAATGAATAACATTCAGTAAACACCCACTGAGGGACAGAATAACTGAGATTTCAACATTATTCTCAGACCAAAATGGCCTCCACTTAGGCACACCTCCAGATTTTTTTGTTTATTTGTTCTTAAAAGTGGAGGGTGGGGGAGGGCACCAATAACTCAAAATAATTCATATGAGTTCATATTAAGGAAATATGTTGTTTGTATTCTCTATGGAAATTAGGCTGTGTGTTTTCACTTTATGCATCAAATTTAGTTTCCCCCAGATAACCCTGAGGGAAGCGGGTGCAGCTGATTTCTTCATTTGCAAGCCAAAAACCTGACAGCCCCAGATGTGAGCCAGTCCAGCTTTAGGTGTGAAAGCTGTTTTTGAAAGCCAAAATACAGGCAATTAAGGAGATTCTCCTCATTTTGAGCTCCTCTTTAACCAGGCTGTCAGTCCTGGATGTGGTGTTCCAGACAGAGCAAGGATGAACATGATAGACAGAACACCTGGAGCCTTTCCCAAGAGAAACAAAGCAGAAGGACAAATAAAATAAAAGCAATGACCACCTACTGTAAAGAATTGCTGAGCAACAATGGCAAAGAACGAACTAATGAGGAAACGCATAATGAGGCAAAGGAGAACAGATAGCAGGATAGCTGGGCAAATGCTGTGCACTACCTCAAAAATACAACAAGCTGTACACACACTATGCTTAAAGCTATCCTTAAGTCAGAGAAGTGTTTACCTTATTAATACAGTGCAGCCTTATTTGTGCATTTAAAAATTCCATTTTGATTCTTAGAGAAAATAAACCCACCCATGCAAATTTATGAAAATGCCTGAAACGTGTAGTTCAAGATTTTGATTGTTTTGGTTGAGGTGGGGGGAGACCCATCAGTCAAGCTTCTTTTGCCATAGTTGTGCCATGATAGCAACCTAATGGTTAACGCAGGGGGCACCAACCTGGGATCTGTGGGCACAAATGCACCCACAGAGGGCTGCCCTGTTTTCCACAGGGCTCCTATCCTCACCATTCACCACTGATATTAAACTTTCAAGAAACATTATATTGCAGCCAATAAAATAGATTGTGGTGTGCGTTGTGCATGGTGCCCACAACCATTTTTCAGCTTTGCAAAGGTGGCCCCAGGCCAATAATTCAATAACTCAGTTAACTTTGAAGTAGGCAGAAACTGCCTCAAACTTCCCTCCTCCTCCTTGCAGGCTTCCAAATGTCTGTTTGTGAGGTGGAAACGTGGATGAAAGGGCTTTCCTTTTCTAAATATCTCCACTTATGTAGAGTGAGGGAAGAAAGCAAATATGAAAACAGGAAAAGAAATATTAGCTGTCCATGTAGTGATCTCTAGTTTAAATTTGTAGGTAGAAATAACCAATAAGAGAAGAGTAGATTCTCCTCCCCTCAAAAAAACACCCACACATTGTGCAAATAATCACCTTTTAATTGTTTTCCCTGGGTGTTGCCTTTGTGCTGGCTTGCGCATTCAAGGTGGGTGGCTCAAATGGGGAAGTTCAGAGAGCATTGAACAATATGGAACCCTGTGTGATCAAACTAAGCATAAATTAACTTGAGCGTTATGTTTCAGCAGATGCAAACACCACCATTTTCTTTTTTAAAAAATAAATAAATATTTATGGAATAAAATGTTGCATTGCAGAAAGGACTTAACTGTGTTACACTAATTGAAGGAGAGTGCCTGTAAATGTTTAATATGCCCGCAGGAATGTATGCAATCCAAGAAAACAAAGAGCAAAGCATCAACAGGATGCTAAATTGTCCTTCTCAGATACCTGAGTTAGGAAACCAAGACAGGATTAAGTTTATAGTTAACTGTGAAACCAGCATAACAAGGCTGCAATCCTAATCATACTTACTTGGGAATAAACCCAACTGAATTCAATGAGACTTACTTCTGAGTGGTTGGCATCTGTCTGTTTCGTGAAACAATGTTTCATGCATCTTTGGGCGGTGGAGTTACGGTGCCTGCTGTGGCTGTAGAGACCTGTACATAGGGTTGCCATACATCCGGATTTTCCCAGGCATATTTGGAATACAGCAGTCGGGAGCAGTGTCTGGGCAGAAATCGGTAAAATGTCTGGGAAAATCCGGACAGCCCATGTTTGGCCTTGCTGTTTTTGCAGTTTTCCCATAAAAGTAGCTCAAAAGTGACAAATTTTGGGGGGAGATTTTGCCCAAAGAGCTCAACAACTCTGGGCAAAACTAAAAGAAGCTCAACAATTGCCTAGATTTTCTCTGTTTGAAATATGGCAACCCTACCTATATGGGAAAGACATGTTTTGTTGCAGCCGGGGCAGATGGAGGCATTTGCTTGCACTGATGCAGATGCATTCGTATTCGGAAGTGTTAGAAAAGAGCGAGAGGAAGTCAGGGCAAGGAAAAGGTGTACAGAAACATATCAAAGGATCGATTCACATATATCCCAGAGCAGATGACAAATCTTGGAGATGTGGGACAACAGGAGTGAAAATATCACGTTTGGTGTATGTGTACTAAGTTGTTCTGGGAGTTAGTGTTGGTGAACACCAAGGAAATGACAGGTTGTAACAAAGCAGGCCCCATTAATCATTTTGTTTGGTAACACAGAAAATGAAGTAAACAGGGTGAATAGAGAAATGCTTACTTATGTATTTACGGCTGTCAGGATGGCAGTCTGCCAAAAGTGGGAACAGAAAGAATCTCTGACACAAGAAGATGGTTGAATGGGATATGGGATACATGCTGAAGCTGACGGACAGGATCAAAAACAGAGAAGGTTGGCAAGGGAGTAAGAGCTTTATTGATAGATTGTCATTGTTTATTATGGATTGGAATAACAAAGTGCAACCATATAACTTGCTGGGAGATGGGTAATAGATGACTGCAAATGTTCACTACTTCTCTTCAGTTTCCCTCCTCCCTTGTATAAAGCATATGGCATTTACTCTGTACAGTATGTTTTTTAACCTCTGTATCTCACTTATGTTATGGATTAACACAATTATAAGCTTGTATTACAATTTACTGCCATTTATTTTTAGTTTTAAAAATGAGGGGATTTATTTATTTTTAAAGAGCATTTTAGAAGGGAGGCATTTTTCAGGACTGCCAAAAATGTTCACAGGAAACTGAAGCTCTAGTTTCCATGACTTGCTAGAAGACTTTTAAAACCCTTATGTTTTAGTGACCTTTAAAAGTCCCATCTGAAAACGTTCTTGCTGACTCTTCTGCAATTCTTTTTATTCACTGTATGCTACCTTTTACAGCCTCTGTGATGAACACAAAGCTAAAGGGATTAAAATGGAGTTGATGGGTTGCCAAACCACTGGATGTTCTTTTTCTAAACTACATTTATTTTTGTTTCCCTAGTTGTCCTTTGTCACCCATCTGCTGGAATCCTCTTCTAGATAAGACCCATTACAACCGAGTATTAGGCCATGGACTGTGCCTAGTCATTGACTATCATCTTTGTGCAGAACAATGGGCAGGAAGGTTACCCTCTACCTACACATCTAGACCCTGAGGAGTAACAGGAAGCATTGTGGAAAAAGGCATGCTGGAGCCCGGTATTTTTTGTGGCATTTTTTACATAAACTGTGCTATTCATGTAGAAATGTTAAGCCAAGTAAATAAAGCAAATCCAACTGTAATATTATTACTAATGCAGTGGTACCTTGGTTTACAAACTTAATCTGTTCCGGAAGTCCGTTCTTAAACCAAAGCATTCTTAAACCAAGGCATGCTTTCCCATAGCAGTGGGGGACTCAATTTACAAATCGAACACACTCGACAGGAAGCAGAACATGTTCTGCTTCCAAGGCAAAGTTCACAAACCAAAACACTTACTTCCGGGTTTGCAGCGTTCTTAATCCAAGTTGTTCATAAACTAAGCTGTTCTGAAAACAAGGTACCACTGTAGCTTGCAAGTTTGGGTGAGTTGTGGAAACTGGAAGAAATATATTTGGGTATCCTTTTGTCATTAAGTATAAACCACATTCATAAAATGTGTTCAATGAATTCATAGTCATTCTCTTTATAACTGGGACCTCCACAACTTTATTAGTCGGATCCTCCATCATGGAGGGCACGTGTTGTGGTGAGATCACCAGGAACTGCATCCCTGTTGTGTGGTGGGACCGTTTGGATGGCCACAACACCTCATTGGTTGCCCCTCTGTTGCTGGGGCAGAAATTTGGTCAGTTGGGTTGGCTATTGGCTGCTGAGGGGCTACTTAAGCTGCTGCACATCGCTAGAGAGTTTCACTTTCTTGCAACATGCAGCAGATCACCCACCCTCCTCTCCCTATATTTAGGGTTGTTCTTATGGCCTTGCTATGCCTGTCTAGGAGTCGTCTGTTTTGGAGCAGGGGCCCAGTAGGAATTTTGCCATTTGACTGATTGGCTGGTGCCACTTGGTTTTTGCCTACCGTGTAGCAAATCATCACAACTTTGTAAGGTTGGCAGTTAGGCATTTGGTTCAGTGTTTTGGGGAGGGGACGTAGTTGGCTGTGCCTGCCCCTCCATTGTTGCTGCTAGGGAATTCCGTTAAAGGAATCCAGGGGCTCACCTTGCTTTTGTCCGAACCCTGTCAAGGGGCTAGGGCCACGCCAGAGCCCCTGGGAGCATCTGGGATGAACTGTGAAATTGAAGCCATTTCTCGCTCCCCTAGGTTGCTTTCCCTTACTGACATATGGTGATGCCCAGTGTCAGTTCTGTTCCTGTCACTGTGCAGGTTCAGGTAGTCTGGAACCAATGCCTAAGCAACCACTCACATGCTGTAATCAATAAAGTTGTGGACAAAATTTAATGCCAAAAACCTTAAACTAAAATCTGTGTCTTTTATGTCTTCATTTGGGGGTGGTTTTGGGGGGGTCTTCACATGCAATTATTGCTATTATTTACTAAATTTGTATAGCACCCTTTATCCACAGATCTCAGGGTGGTACACTACAATTTAAAAACCACAAACTACATAGTAAAAATAAGAACAACAACAAATCCAGAATCCCCCCTTAAGGCTGCTCTACTCGGCCAACCTGAACACAGCTCAGCAACCATACACTGGGATTTGCCAATTGCTTTACACCTCTCCTCTCCATTTTTCAGTACTGTTTGGGCAACAAAACCAGCTCCTGATAGGCTGTGATATTTTCTTCTTGATTCTCTGAAGCATGGTAGGAGTCTTGCTAGAATAAAATTATAAACTAAAAAGAAGGAGAAGGAGTAGGAGAAGCAGCAGCAGCAGCAGCCAGTCCCTGGCATGACCCCCAAGCTGGCTTAGCCCTCCAAGGCAAAATATTTTTTAAAAAATTAAAAGGGAGTGGAAAGGAAGCAGATACCTGGAGAAGAAAGACTTTGGCAATCAATACCACCTGCCATTGGACCCAATGTGTTCTGACTATATGTGATTTTGGCTTTAGGCATGACCCCGGAACGTAACTCAGACCTTTCAAGTGTCCCTATTTTTCCAGGGATGTCCCTGATTTAGATCAGCTGTCCTGGTTTCTGATTTAATCCCAGAATGTCCCACTTTTCCTTAGGAAGTCCCTATTTTCATTGGAGAAATGTTGGAAGTTATGGTAACCCCCATATACGTTGCAGGCTTATTGTGTTTGAAAAGAATAAATTGCTACAGGGGGCAAAAGAACACTGTTCAAAATGAAAATCTCAGGCAACTTGAGCTAGAGTAGCAGTACTTGGAGTGAACGTGATGCTACTTTTAGAGGCCTTAATTCTGCTGTGCTGGATTTGAAATTATTAGCTTTCAATTAAACCTTTTATTAGCTGAAGACAGTGAGCACGGTGAATGTGAAAAGCCCTTTTCTCTCCCTCTTTTTTGATTTAGGAAATAATTACCCAGGTTTCATGACAAGGACCCAGGTATCGGCAGGTTACATCAATTTTATCGCATTAAAGGAATGCTAGAATCACAGCTGGTTTTCCCAAAGCAACAGAGCTGTCATTCACAGGGAATCTCATTGAAGTGCAAATGCTGTCAATCCTTGCTTCAGTCCATTCATTTTGGAAGAAAATGTATTTGATGCCTGAGGGATGGGGACAAATTAAGAGAGATTTTTCTTTATGCGATGGACCCAGCAAGGCCCTGCATACAGTACAGCAAACTGCACTACCTGCAGGGTGCTCATCCACCATGAAAGTCCTCTATTATCTCATTCTTTACATGAATGAAATGTGAATACAGTTCCTCGTTCTCAAAAACCATTACACTGATTGGATTTTGTCTGGAAGCCACCGAATGAGTTTTTCCACACAATTATTTTCAACAGATTGAAAATGTGTGCCTCTCTTCTGTCAGGTGGTGACGGAAGCCGCTCTTGAGTTTTAAGGATCTTAAAAAATAGCAATGTTTTATAACCTTTTTTCTTTTCTTTTTTTGAAGTCTTCAGCCTGCAGGAGATGGGGAAAAAAATCAACAATCTAACAAATTCCTTTCTTTTTCTTTTGCCAGAATATTTTTTTCTGGAACACTTACTGGGTTTATTGTGTTCAATGACTGGAATTGATTTCAACATAAACACACATGTGTTGAAGACATTCATTCATAAGGAAAAGATCAAGGGGCCAAAACTATGTTACATTCTGCAACACAGAAGCCTCAAGAGGCAGGGAAATTTAGTGGATGGGGTGTGGGACTTGCACTGGGAAATGTAAGTTCAGATCCTTGCTTGGACACAAAACTACTGGGGCAGTGACTGTTTCAGTGGTTATAAGGAAGAGGAGATTGCTGATATGAGCTCTTTGGATGACTGGCAGTGTTTTATTAAATTAGTTAACATAGTATTCTAGGAAGCCTGTAGTTCTGAATCAAATACCGTGACCTCAGGAATTTTCAGCAACAACCACCACCACCTTTTAATAATAATAATAAAATCATGGAACTTTAGAGTTGGAAGGGACCAGAAAGGTCATTTAGACCAACCCCCTGCAATGCAGGAATCTGTTGCTCAAAGTTGGGTTCGAGCCCACATTGAAAATAAAATTGGGTGGCAGGGGCATAGAGCTTGGAGAGGAACAAATTCCATGACAAGGCACAAAAACTAGCAGTGTACCAGAATTGGTTTCATATTCTTAAATGGTGTGTCTGCACTTTGTTAAACAAAAGACAGTTGTTTTGAAGCTCTGAACCTTGTAAGAAAGGTGCAATCTCTGATCTGAAAACCTGCCCTACAACAGTGCCTCATTTAGGAGGAAATTGCACTCAGCACATTTTCAAAAGAAATCTTTGTTTATGGTAAATCATTTCCCAGAATGCTTTTGTTATCTTGCACGTTCACCACGTATCAAAGGCGGAGGGAAGTCAATGGATTCAGGGATTCCTAAATGATGATGTGGATGATTTGTTTGAATTTAAATTTGTTATGTAATATATATATGGTCTGTATACTACAGAGCTGAGTCCTGGCACTGAAAATTATTGCCATAATGCTGCTCTGAATCTGAAGACAAGTACCTCCAACTGTGAGCACAGCATTATTCTCCAACCTGTCCATTCTCTCATTTAATTGACTACAGTACAGGAAAATATTGTTTGCAGTGCTTTACTTTGGCAGGAGGTTGGGCTAGATGACCTTTGGCTGTGGTCTGATAATTTAGCTGGAAGTAGATTCAATTTCTTTTTAGTTGAAGTGGATTCAGTTGATTTCAGTGGCATGTGCCTTGTGCTTAGGACTGCAACATAACACAGACACTTATTTTTGCAGCCTTAGTTTTAGGAAATCCTAAGGATGTTTGTGCATGTGTGTGAGACAGAGAGAAATGAAAGCAGTTTAACATTTCATCCAATGTGCGGTAGGGCAGAAGGGGGGGGGGGTAGAAGAACACTCAAATCTGAGTGTCTCTAATTATACAAAAACAATTTCTTTTAGTGGGGAACAGAGGTTTAGACATGCTCAGAAGCACTTCCAAATCTGTCTCTGATTGGTAGAGGCATGGCAAGGCATTGGAAGGGCTTGGGGTCATTTGGATGCCAGCAGCTTCCTTATTAGCCTTTTTGACATGAGAGCCCCATCAGTTGGATCACAGCATTGGAGAAGCTGTCACCATCAGAGTGGTGGGATCCAGCACTGGATCTGTTTCACCAACGTCAGACCTCGGTTCATGATTTCAGGTTGGTGGGTCCTGTCCATCCACTCACTGGCAGAGGAAGAGGGGGACGGGGGAGCACACCGCCCCCAGCACCACGATCCCTGTGGGGTGCCATTATGGCTGCCCCCCTGCTGGGTGGCATGCCCCTGTGGGTGGCATGCCACACCCCCAGGATGTGCACCAGGCCCCCGGGATGCACACCAGACATGCCCCCGCATGCTCTCCGCCACTGCATCCACTGACCCCTTGAATGCTGCCCTAGGGATCATAGGACTGCCCCCTTTTACGATGGCCGATCTCTGCCTTTTCTTATGGTGGAGAAGGAAGCAAAATCATCAGGGACTCTGTCTTGCACACTTTTAGGCTTGTGTGCATTCGATTTAAGTGTGGGTGTTCAGGGTTAGGGTATAACTGTCTTTGAAAATGCTTATTTTTCTAGCACATGCATTTTTTTCGGGTGGGTGGGAAGGCAATAGAATGAAGCTTTAGACTTGTTGGGTTAAAAACAAAACAAAATTGAGGCGATGCCCATTATAATAAAGAGTGTGAATGTGTGTGCACAATGAACATATGTTTATATTCCGAAACACATGTAATTAAAGCGGCTAAACTGAAAGAGAGGAAG